AGCAACGTACACACCCTGGCCGCCGCCCCTGGCGCGCCGTACCCCTCCCTGCTGCCCCCCGCCACCCCGTGGGGTCTCCTGCCCTGCTCCCGGGGCCTGGCCTCCCACCTTCCGCAGCAGCCGCGGGGCCTCCACGCGCAGCCGGCAGCTCCGCTCCACCACGTGCACCGCGCCGTCGGCGCTGCGGGACTCGCCCAGGACCTCGCTGCCCAGGAAGACGGGGATCTGCGGGCAGGTGGGGAAGCGCTTCTCGTAGGCCTGGGGGTAGAGGGGCGCGAGTGCGAGGGGCCGGCCGGCGAGGTCCCCGGCACAGCCGGCCCCTGCCCTGGCCTTGCTGTCCTCTCGCGTCTCATTTAACAGCGGGGGGTGGAGAGCGAGAACATTCCTGGCCCCTGGGGAGCGCAGCGGCCGCTGCTGTTTTACCAGCAAGACCATCACTTGCCGGCGCAGGGACTTGGCTGGCGGGCCACTTTTTGGCTTTACATTTGAGCTTCTGCCCTCAGAAGAAAGAGTGGACTCGCCTGGGACATGTTAAAAGAAAGCATCTTTCAGGGGGAAAAGAACAAAATCCAACACGTCTTCATGGTAAAAACAAGCCGGGAGAGAAGGGAACTTCCTCAGCCTGATAAAGGGCATCTACCGAAAACCACAGCGAACCTGAGGCTCAAGGGCGACAGACTGAACACTTCTCCGGGCAGCAGAGCAGGAACAAGGCAAGGCTGTCTGCTGTGGCCGATGCTGTTCTACACCCTGGAAGCTCTGGCCAGAGCAGGTGGGCAACTAACAGAAAGAAAAGGCATCTGGATGGGCAGGCGAGAGTGTGCCAGGTCAGGGAGCACCGGAGTCAGAGCCACTGGGGGGCGCGCGGCACTCAAGCGGGCGCTCCTGGGGCCTGTCGCAGCCCACATGCCCTGAAATCAGAATCAAAGCAGCTCCAAATATAGCGCCGGCATCTGAGGACAGGCACTTCCACCCCCATCCCTCCCAGTAGAAAGGGGCACCCACCCAGCTCAGACTGGCAGAGGCGGGGGAGGGGGAAGGAAGAAATGAAACCGTGCCTGGTGCCCTTGGTGTTATCCCAGCCGCACAAGGCCAGCCCAGCGTGTCCTGCGTCGTCCGCCAGGGTCAGAAGGATAGGGCTGCCTCCTGCCATCTGTCAAAGCTGGTTGCTTTGTACAAACACACCAGGGTTAGAATAAGGAACACTGGTCCCCAGGGAAAAGTGCACCATGGGGCTCCCAGGAGTCTGGGCTCTGCGGGCTGGCAAGGAAGGTCTCCAAACCCTCTTTCAAAGGAAGGCATTTCCCCACTGAGGACCGAGCCTCAGTAAAGTGGATGAGAGTTGGGTGGAGTTCTACTCCTCCAGAGAGGCAAGTCCCTTGCTTTCTCTAAGTCTGTTTTATCTTCTGGAAAATGGGTGTATACCAAGCTTGTCTCCCAGAAGACAAAGCCAGACTGAATATCTCATGAAGAGCCTGGCACATCACAAGCACCCAGCAGTTTCCATCTCCAGACGACAGGACTCAAATGGTGGCACAGTAAAGGTTTGCAAGAATGGAACACAGCATCTTCCCAGCCCTTCCAGAGCACTCTGTTGGCATTAAATGCAGAAGGGAGCCAGAGCAGCCAGCTCGCCCACCTCTGTAATGGGCAGGTGGATGCTGACATGTTTTGAGAGTATACGGAGGGAAAGGGGTATATGTTTCCAAATTGGTCAGGTTCAGTTTGAATCTCTGCTACTTTCTCACTGGGTGACCTTGGGCAAGTCACTTGCCCTCTCTGAGACTCCATTTCCTCATCGGTAATGTGAGGACGTCACCAGATTGTGTCTCACAGTAGTTGGCACTCATAAAGCCTTGACTGCTCTTCCAGCTGTGTGTGGTCTTCCATTTAATCCTCCGCATGGCACCCTCATTTGACAATGAGGAAACTGGGGCCCAGAGGGGCTAAGTAACTTATCCAAGGTCACACAGTGAAAATGGTGAACCTGGATTTGAATCTCAGACTGGCTCAGCTTTCACTCCCTCAGGAACCCCTTGCTCAGCAGCAGGGCTTGTTCTCCCAGGCAGCTCGGAAACAAAGCCAGGCTGTCCCGTGGGGCTGTGTGGTCACAATTTCTTTCTCCACTGTCAGTCCTTCATCTCTTGTCAGGCAGTGGCCTCACTGCCCCTGAGCTTCTGCACTTCCACTGTGGAGGCCCTGGGAGATATGTCCCACCAGCCCACCTCCCACCCCAGTCTCCTTCACTCTGCCCTAGCTACGTCAACCTCGCTGTTTCTAAAACACGTTGTTAGGAGTTGAATTGTGTCCCCCCCACACACACGCACACCTCCAATAAAACTCATGTGTTGAAGTCCTAAACCCCAGGACCTCTGAATGTCACCTTATTTGGAAACAGGGTGGTTGCAGATATAATTGGTTAAGATGAGGTCATACTGGAGTAGGGGGGCCCTGACCCAACATGACTGATGTCCTTATAAAAGGGGACATTAGACACAGACACACACACAGGGACGTCATATGAAGATGAAGGCACTGATCAGGGTGATTCCTCTACAAGCCAAGAAACACCAGGGACTATCAGCAGCTCCAGAAGCCAGGAGAGAGGCCTGGAACAGCTTGGCCCGCACAGCCCTCTGAAAGAACCAACTCTGCTGAGACCTTGATCTCAGACTTCTAGCCTCCAGACTGTGAGATAAAAAGTGTCTGTTGTTTAAGCCCCCAATTTGTGGTGCTTTGCTATGTCAGCCACAGGAAATAGGAAATCCACCCACCAAGCTTGTTCCTGCCCAGGGCCTTTGCACTAGTTGTTTCCTCTGCTTGGGACACTGATCAGTTCACTTGACAGTGAAGGAGGGGAGAAGAGTCACTGGAGCTCCCAGACCATAGGAGACCAGGGTTGGGGCTAAAGAGATGCCAGGTTTTAGGGACTTGCCTGTCTCTGCTGGCCCCTCTTCCCGGAACATCCTCCCCCACCTCCCCCTACAAGGCTGCCTCCTCCCCTGTTCTCTGTCCTTTAGCCTGATCATTTACTCGATAGCACTTATGCCACCTTTTAACCATATATACTTCCTCGCTTGCATGTGGCATGCCAAAGGCCTGGGCTGCCTGCTTTTCAGCAGCACTGACCTTGCATCTGCATCCATCTCAATTCTTGGCACACACTTGGGACTCATAAAGAATGCCAACAAGCAGAGAAAGAAATAAACATCTTACTGAAGTCCCAAACAGCCCCAAAAAAGGTGTCAGAGGGGAATGACAGGCACTGGCTCAGCGCATGCAGCCCACTTAGGGCACTAAGCTTCACTGGCTAACTTCCTGTCATAACAAAGCTCTCATTAGAAGAGCCCCGTCTGGAGCCCCCAGATAACAGTGTGGGGGCATGGGGGCTGATCAGCCTCGGACAGGCGCTCGGACACAACTTACCCTGCCTGTGCAAGGGAAGGCACTGCCTTTTTCAAGTAAACAGTGGCTGCTCCAACAACAGAGCCACCCAGGCGTTGGGAGGGGGCCCAGAGATCAGGCTCCATCTGGAAAGCAAGGGCTCCAAACTAAGGAGTCCACCCAGTGCCAGTTCTCCAGGGTCAGAGGACTCTCGCTGGAGATTCCCTGGTGTATGCGGTCTAGTGTCTAACACTGTTGTTACTGACAGTTACAAAATGCTAACTGCATTGTTTCATCCTCATGATGCTCTGATGAAATGGGAACTAGTGTTGCCTCATTTAATTTTATTTTATAAAATAATTCTAGAGAGAGAGAGGAAGGAAGAGAGAGAGAGAAACATCAATTTGTTGTTCCACTTATTTATGCATCCATTGGTTGATTCTTAAATGTGCCCTGGCTGGGGATTGAACCTGCAGCCTTGGTGTAGCAGGATGAAGCTCCAACCAACTCAACTACTGGGCCAGGGTCTTGTCTCCCCATTTTACAGGTGAGCAAGTTGAGGCTTGAGAAGACATTACACGGCCACTGAAGTGGTAGGATTGGAGCCCAGCTCTGAGCCACCCTGTCCTGCCTCTAGGGGGACATTGGCTACATCACAAGTGTGGGTGGTCTGGAGATGCTGAGTCCTGCAGGCCTAAACCCACAAATCAAGGGGTCTTTGCCTTTGGTATATCACAGAGTCTCACAGGATCAAAGAGTTCACAGGACCCAACGTATGTTGCAAACCACTTCACTCAGCTAGTTTTGTCCCTGCCTAAGAGCCTCAGATGCTGAATGCTGTCCCCACAATCAGGCTCAAGCTTCTCCTTGATGGACAAACACATGGTTTGGCCCCCTAAGGGACACAGGGCAGCAGAAGGATTGTGTTACAGCCCTTCTGCCAGGCGTTTGGGAAGGGACACCCAAGCCTGCTGGCTCAGAAAGGAAGCTGGTCCAAGGCCCAGAATTCGCCCCTGAGGGCTCCGGCTGGGGCAGGCAGAGGCTGATGGAAACTTCCATTGACTGTCTCCCATATGCCCCCATCCTGCAAAAATCCAGGTAGCATGTGGAGATGGGGGACTGGAGTTAGGTAGCCCTGGACTCCTAGCTAAGCTGGGTAACCTGGAGCACAGCATGGCCTCTCTACCCTTCGAGCCCATCTGAAAAATGGAGTAATTACAGACCCTCCCAATGAGCCCTCACCTGTACCCTTTCCTTCCTTTGTGGGTCACAGCTGCTGAAGTAAGAGGTCATCAGACCCCCAGCAGTAGGTTTATTCACCTCTGAATCCCTGGTGCTTTGAAAAACGCCCAGCTCATAGTTGACACTCAGTGGGCATTTCCATGACAAATGAGTGAGTGACAGTATAGCACAGTGGTTAAGGCATGGGCTCCAGGGCTTGGGTTCAAATCTCTGCTCGGCCTTTGTGCAGTTCCATGGCCACACGGTCAAGTCACCAAGCTCTCAGTTCCTTAATTTGTTCATGTGTTAAAAGGAGCTTGAGAAACGTGTCTACCTTGCTGAGTTGTCCAGGCAAAGAAAGGAGGCTGTTTTGGTGAAGTGCTGAGAACAGAGTCTGGCGCGTGGTTGGTTCTACATAAGCATTTGTTAAATAAATTTAAATTTTTAAAAAGAGCGAGATTCTATAAAGTACAGGAAAGCTATTTCTGCTAATCACTTGACAGCTGCTCCCTCCTCCTCCCTCCTTCCTTCCTGCCTTTCCTCATGCAAATTCAAAGGAAGCTGGAACCAGAAGCTCGAACCTTCCACCAAAACGTGGACAGAATACCCAAACCACATGAAGATAGTCTGGCCCAAAACGCCACCTCTCCTCT